CATTCATTCATTCATTCATTCATTCATTCATTCATTCATTCATTCATTCAATGTATATGGCTGCCCATTTCATGTATGACTCTTGGGTGACTCACAATAATGAAAAATGAAAATAAACAACAAACTACTGTAATAAAAAAAGGAACAAACAATATGCAGCCAAGTAGTAACAGTTTTACCAAAGATCATTTTACCCAGTGTCCTAGCCCAATGCCCAGGAGAAAAGCCAGGTCTTAAACATTCTACAAAAAATTGGCAAAGTCAGGGCCTTCCTAACCTTGAGGGGCATACTGTTCCATTGGGCTGGCACTTTCTGGGTCCCATCAGATTACATTGTTTAACTGAAAGGATCTGGGGCATGCTCACCCTGTCTGATATCATAGGGCAGACAGAGATATATAGTTAGTCCCACAGGTAACCTGGGCCTGTGTCAATAAGGACTCTATAGGTGCTAATCAGCATCTTGAATTGCAGCAGAATTGCAATCAAAAACTAGGTGTTTAGATAGTATGACTGATGACCCAAACAGGAGCTTACAAGAACTCAAAGCAGTTACTCAGAATCCTGGCAAAATAATATCCATCAGGTCATGAACTGTCAGGAATGACTGAACAACTGAACAGAAACAACATAAATCATCTTTGTAGCCAGGTTGAGCATGACCATGGTCAAATGGGGTTCCTCCACTGGACAAGAGACTACAATCATGGCAGACTGTAGTACACCAGAGGACACTGCTGTGGCCAACTCATAAGCACTGAAATGTTCACAACAGTGGAAAGAAATATGCCTTTCTGAATAAGAACAAGAACTACTTGCAAGTAATTTTGTAAATATATTCCAAAACATAATTTTGGTGATGGTGTAGCAAGCGGGCAAAGTAATTGTAAGTTTATCTATACAAAAATATGACTGGCAGTTTTGTTTGGTGCTCACTTCCAGTAGCTGATATGTGGAATTGATAGTCGCTTTAGCTTTCTTTCCCAAGGCCAGAACTTTCAGCATCCCTAATGACCATTCTTGTTGTCTGAGCCTGCAGATCACACAAGAACTCCTATTTGCAAGCATATT